ATCAACTATAGTAAACCAGAACCAATATGGCTAATTACTGATGTATCGGATGTTGGAGTTGGAGCATGGGTTGGGCAAGGGGCCTCCCATGAAAGGGCAAGACCAGCGGCATTACATAGCAGGAAGTTCACTAACTCACAGATGAACTATAGAACAACAGACAAGGAAGCCCTTGCTATGATTGATGCTCTCGCCGCATTCAACCACATCCTGATGGGCATTACCTTCACCATTATTACCGACCACCAACCCCTTACTAACCTTAAAACCAAAAGGATCCCTGGAAGGAGAAGAACACAATGGATAGGAGAGATCAGCAAATACAATGCAAAAATCATTTATACCTCTGGAAGAACGAACTATTTAGCTGATGCTCTCTCCCACCTATATGAGAACCAAGAACTCACAGACCCTCCTCTTGTTCATGACCACACAAGGCAAAGCGAAGACAGCCCTGACGACACCTCCTATGAACAAGAACCATCGATGGCCACTGCCAGCTCTGCCGCTTCCTCCAATCCTTTCTCTTACACCATGTACAGAGCTGCCAGAAATGAACAAGGAAAGGACATTGATGATGAGTGGAAAGACGATTGCACCCTCCACAGCACACCTCCTCACGAGCTTGAACAAAGCAGACTCCACTGGTCCCATTGTTACCTTGATACCTGCCCTTCTCACCAGAAAGAGATTAAATTCGGCAACAGGTACCAGCGACCATACTATATGTCTACTGATGATTCCAAAAACACCAGCTTCGACACAACAGAAGGAGCAGAGGAGATGATCGATGAAGATAAACCAACCCAATCTCCTCATACCTTAATCCTGTTCCAACAAGATACCAAGGTTTTGAAGAACTCGAACAAGCAGCAGCCTACATGGATGCAATATCCTATTTACACCCCCCACAGTCAGCCCCGCGATCCTCTCCTCCCATAACAGATTCACAACCACTATATGGTAGACCCTTACGAGTATACAACAATGAAACCATTGTCTCGGTCATACCTCCTACTATTCCCGAGCATCGCTGACAACTCTATGAAACCTTTGAAGACGAAGAGGAAGTACCTAGCGATCCGACAAGAGGATCTCTCATTGAGGATGAACGAGATGTTAGATCAACCACAGAAGAATTGACCTCCTCTTTCCGAAGCCCAATGATAGTGGGATATCGCCACGATCCGATTTACTTCAAAGCCATGGATAGCTCCAGGCATGGAGACCTCGCTCCCTACAACATATCCAATGGAATGGTCTATACCAGCACCCATTATGGTGACCATTGTCTGTACATCCCAAAAGGCCATATGTTCAATGGAATGACTATTAGGGAATATGTTATTACCAAAGTCCACAACAAAGAACACCACAGTACGGACCGCAACCTCCAATCTGCCTCGGAATATGTTTTCTGGCCTGAAATGCGAAAGCACTTCCACAATTTTGTCAAACAATGCGAACTCTGCCAGGCAAATAAGGAGCGACCACAACTACCTGAAGGGAAAGCGCAGACCCTCCAACTACCATGTGAAATATTCGAATCCTATGCCATCGATTTCGCAGGACCATTCAACAAGTCCGTAGGATATGACACCATCTTGGTAGCTGTGGATCGATTTTCCGGATATACATGGCTCATACCAATGAAAGTTACCGATTCCTTCAAAGACACCTGGAATAACCTCCAACAATACCTGTTTACCCCCCATGGGTATCCCTTATCTATTATCAGTGATGCGTGATCCCCGCTTCACCACCAAATTCTGGAAGCAAACCTTGACCTCCCTTGGAATAAACCACATCATGGCTACCCCTGGACACCATGAGACTAATGGCCAAGCAGAACGAAAAATCCGCGAAGTTAAGACCGGAATCAGGAACTTGATCAATGAATGACAGACCAACTGGGAACCAGCCCTTGTTGAACTCGCCGCATATATCAATGCCGGATATTCAGACACCTTGGGAATGTCTCTATACAAGGCAGTTTTCGGCCGTCAATACCCTCTCCTACCTACAACTCTATTTAAGAACTCCTCAGTCCCAGCCTCTGATGACCATCTAAACCGCCAACAAGCAATTCGGAACGATGCCTTCCAAGCTGTTAAAGCTGCCCGATTCCAAAGCACCACTACTGCTCAGAAACGACGACGTAAATATGTCCCCATCCCACCAGGTGATATGCTCATGGTACATGGAAACAGGTTCATTACCAATATTGGACGCAGCAAGAAACTACAACCCCGATAGTGAGGACCTTTCAAAGTTTTATCTTTTGACGAGCATACAGAAAACTACACTGTCCAGATGGATGGACGCATGTATCGCCACAATACTGCAGTTTTCCATGCCTCATCTGTCAAGTGATTCCATCCAAATGACGACTCTAAGTTCTTTGGAAGATCCCACCCTTGACCTGCACCTATCATCATCGATAAGAAAGATGAATGGGAAGTTGAAGAAATCAGAGACCACCACCTTTGGCATGGAAATTATCAGTTTCTAGTCAAATAGAAAGGATATCCAACAAGTGAAAACAGCTGGGAACCACTAGAAGGACTGGAGCATGCTATGGATATAGTGAACGAATGGTGGAAAGACAATATGCCAAACGAATCCCTCCCTCCAACAATCAATTACATCACCATGTGCTGGACACCCATGATGCCAGAAACTGAGCGATGGCATACAGAACTCGAAGCTAGAGATGGATTTTGGGCACCATACTTTGAATCAGAATTCGAAAGTAGCGATGATGAAAATCATACTATGGAACAGGTTCTCGACAACCTTATCTGATCCCAATCACCATCCCAATACCATAACGATGTCAAACTATGTGGAACTCAATGTGAGGCTGCGACAACAGATTGTTGGACTGTTGTTGAACCGCGATGTTATCCAACTTGAAGACTACTTCGAAATCCTCTGGATAGATTACTGTCCTGATTGTGATCATGCTTGAGTTGATGTAAAACGCGAATCTGGTATTCGTGACTACTGTGACTTGCATTTCTTTGAGTCTAAGTGTTTCCTTAGAGCTTCCTCTTGTCCCTGGTGTGATACTTATGATGAAGAGTTTTTAGCGGAAACTGAAGCCTTTAGTTTCTCAGACTCCACTTTTGATGATTATTAGGTTTTGTTTACTTAAACAGTTGTTTTGTTTTGGGGAATGTAACCGGTACGGGTACTCGGTTATTGGTTTTGTTTTATGTTTTGTTTTAAGTATCGCTTTGATACTTGGTTTGTTTTAAGTATCGTTTGATACTTGGTTTTGTTTTATGTTTTGTTTTAAGTATCGCTTTGATACTTAAGGAGTTTTACCAAAGTGTATCGATTGATACCTTTGATTAGTCTCGTTCATGCTAGACATGAACAGATTTGTGTATTTAAAGACCCCCTGTTTCTACGATAGAGAAGGCAGACTTCGACAGACAGTATTTCAATATACTTGGTTGAACAGTTACTTCTTTGTTCCTCAGTACACCCTCTAAGCCTCCTTTAGTTCTCAGCTCTCGCCTCCTCTCTGGAAGAGCAGGCCACCTGCCAACTATCGTATCTATTTCCGATAACGTGACTAGCATCTTGCGAACACGTTACAGGTAACATAGATGGAGGCCTAAAGCTATCGGAAGACAAAGAAAGAAGAAGATAGAAAGAGAACCATCATTCCCTGTTACCAAGAACTAACTATCCAGAGAGGGATCATTACAAGCAGTTAGATCATATTCTTAAGTAAGTATTTCTATATCAAAAAACAGAAAATACAATAATTATAAGGATGTAGAACCTACCCTTTATGCCCTGGTGCACTATCTTCAACAACCCTAATTCAACCAAATCTCTCACAACACTCATGCCAGAAAGGAATTAAAACTGGATCCAGAATTTACTTAGTATACTCATAAGAATCCACTTTAACCTTTCCTGGTACTACCACTAGCTTTGACCTTAAATCCCTACAAAAGGCTCCCCATACCATAACTGTCTCCCTTCCTGACTCCCAGACCTCATCAATGCAATCCTGATCATATTTCTCAGAAGGTTCTCTTATCACTCATCCTCTCTGCCCAAATCCAGCTGTAGAGAATGAGGTTTCATCAGTCCATATGATTCTAGACCAGTCTCTTAGTTTCCAAGCTCTTTTTCTCATACACCAACCAAATCTAATTGGTATATTTTTAGGGCGCAATCCCCATCTAAAATATCTTTTAGTTATGTAAACACTTGAATTTTCATTAAAGTACTTACTTCTTGCGTGGTTTTCTTTTATTTAAATTAAGACTCTTAGCTGCCTTCCTAATTGTCCTGGATGATCCCTTTAATCCCTTCTCTTCTTTAATATCCTCTCAAGAAAGTCTTCTATTTCTTTTATTTTCTTTAATAAAAGACTTTAGATCAAGTAGATCAGACTCCTGGAAGATTGGAGGTCTTCCTGTTCGCTGTTAGTTGGAAGGACTACCTGTTTCCCGATACCGTTGATAGATGCGAGTACAGGTACTATGGTGAACTTTAAGGCCTATTTTTTCCTTCAATTCGGTAGCTATCTTTCTGAAAGACCACTCCGCTATTTCTTGGAGAGCAATAATACTGATCCGGTCATCAAGCGTGGTTTCCCACTCGAAGCGCTGTCGCTTCTTTGTCAACGATCGCCGCCGCTTAAGATTTCGTGGACTAATTGCTAAATCATTTAATTTTATTATTATTTCAACTTTATGTACATATTCATTTAATTAAACTACTTATGCTCACTTCTGCGGGTTCCCTTTACCCTCATAGTGCTTTTCTGAAATGGTTTGGCAGGTGGTGGGGGATATGGTGAGTATTGTAGTGATGGGGGTTGGGAGTAGAGTTGCAATCTTGTGGGAAGCGGTTGCTACTGTGTCGCACTACTTCTTTCCCCCCCCCTCGTACACTAAACCGTATCATGCCTGCTGCCCATGAACGGGTAAATTAATTGTCTAGAAGCTACAAGTTATCATACTCTGCTAATATTTGCTGCCATAATGCGATATTTTTAGCACTGAATATCAAACTAAGAAATTTGAGCTTCGGTTCTATGTATTGTAAAAAAAGTTGCCCTAGGAACAGGACAACGGCTTCTCCACACTGGTATAGCTATCCAACCATGAACCAATGGACCCGTACCGGTATCTTAAAAGACCTAAAGATACATACCATGCAAGCCCAAGAGAAAGAAAAGTTAAAAACGGAGATTTAGGAAATTTGTTTAGAGAAGCAAGACGGCAAAAAACTAAGGACAAAACCCATCCTCCAACATACACTGGTTTACTACCACAGACCACATACCAACCTATCTGCAATGGTGGATACCGATCTGTAGCTAGTTATAAGAAGACAATTTAGTCCCGGTAAAATTAGATGTCGTTAGCAGTCATTATGTCGTCGCAACAATTCCTTAGGCCAAGTAACCTGTATCAAACGTTAGCAAACAGTTTCAGCTGGAACAAAGAAAACAATACCTAGACGTTCCCCATCCAAGCGCTCAAGGTACTCCTTCTCTAACAAGATATCAATGCACTTTTTGATATCGGGAATCTTGGGTGTAAAACGGGACTTAATTTGCCCAATGGTCTCCTGCACCAATACAACATGTTTGAGTACCTTGCGGGCCTTCATGATGCGAACGATCGCGGACTAGAAACTATCAGTAAAATAATTCCGCATACAATAACAGATACATATCTTACCTGCATCAGGAGCTTACGGTCCTCCTCAATGGTTTTATGAGTCTCCTCAACCTCCTGCTTCTGTTCTGCCCTGACAGCCATATTGAGATTCACACGAATCTTCTTAGATTTAAAATCGAAATTGAGGGAGTATTGAGTGCCTGGCCCAATTTTTGAACCAGGAGGCGATATGGTCAATACCTTGGCTTTCAAGAAGACCGCCAACGCCGGCTCCATATACTCCTTCGACAACCCAGTAGATTTTTCAAATTCCTCATAGGAAATCTTTGTCGCATCGTTAAACAATAAGAGCATGGCCATCTGGTATGTCGAGACCTGGAAAGTATATGGGGTCTTGGTTGCTTTGCAATAACTGGCTTTTAGTTCCCCTTTGCAAAGATGCCATAGCCAAGTCAATTTACGGCCATTATGCTTCCCGTTATAGAACTCAACGAATCGAGTGTAGGTTTGAACTATAACTTCAGGGATATTGAATGGGGTTGTGGGAGGGTTCAGAGGCCAAAAAGATGTTCCGAGAACTTGGCAGCTGAAGTCAACACCATTAGACGCACTCTCTCCCTTTCCTTCTAACCACGCCTTATAGTTGTCATTGAGATCCTTAGAGATCTGCATATCCTGGAACATGCGTTGGAGTTTGTTGGTGTATTCAAAGCCGCAGGCCTCCTTGAGCTTTCCAATCATGCTTGTCTCCGCATCATCGGAGGCCGAAGTAAAGTTCACCAGCCTCTTCGCCAGCATTTTAGAGTAGAATTTCTGAAAAACATCCTTGTCTTCAACATATTTGAAGACTGTCATGATAGCCGTGAGCTTGTTCTCAAGGTCCGATTCTTCGGCGCTCTTGGCGCTCTTGCGCAAAAGTGAATCTGCATACTTTGCAAGAAGCTCGGGGGATTTTGTAGATGCCGACTTGCATACTTTGTTTCTGTTGACAAACTCGCGACAGGCGTTATCCAAGGAGCGGACAAACTCTGCCTCCCCTTTGAATGCAACATTCACAAGGTTCTGGTACTGCGTATGAACTTCCAATAAAGCATCGACATAGACTTTTGGATCAAGATTGTCCCCCCCCTCATCGGCAATCTTATCAACAGCAGAAGTTCCAGCTCTCCTAACGTGCGCTTCAAATTTCGTACGAAGAGGCTCAAGTCCATCCGGTATACGAGAAAGAAGGTTATACATCCTCTGCAAATCGCTCTGACGATCATTGTCTAGCAACACCTGAAATTCCTCCCGCAGAAGGGGGGCATGTTCCTGAATGAGGACTTTCTGGCAAGTCTTCATCAATGGCCCATAGATATCGGGGTGGAGATACATTTGCACACGCCCTTCCTCTTCAGCTAACCTTGTCTCGGCCTGGAATTCATATTAGTACCAAGCACCACGATTAGCTACGAGGGGACGAACTTTTTTCATGTACTCTACCACACTATTTTCGGCCACAAACTGTTTGGATTCCATTTGGTAATAGGCGGTAGTAGCCTCCAGGAAGGGCTTTTCAAAGAATTGACGATAGACATCCAGGGTCGACTTTGAAGAATCGCTTTCATCGAGCCCCAGAGAAACAAAGGAATCTACTATGCTTTTGACCATAGCGGTTTCGATGGTCTCGCCATTTCGCTGTTTCTCAACGAGCTTCAAAACACCATCCATGACGTATTTTTGGACATGATCGAAGAGATCAACTCTCCAACGTACAAGATGGAGCTATGACACCAAATATTAACCCTAACCTTTTTCTTCTCCAAAGAACAAACGAACCGTATAAACATCGTAAATGTTTTTCTTGCCTTCATCCATTTCACGCTTCACCCAATGTCGATTGAGGTATCGGAATAAGTGGTTGATGTATTTCGCAGCAGTGGTATACCGATCCCAATCACGAATGTATAAAGCGAGGAGGGCCTCGTCCGCATGGCCAGATGCCTCCTAAACCCACCAAATCAGGGAGTGGTCATAATTAGCAGTAGAATAGAATTTTATCCAACTCACATCCTTCAGAGCGGTGAGGTGCTTGCTTAGGTAGCCTATAAGGTTTTTGTATAGATCCTCTCCAAGTAGGTGAGCTACAGCGCCTCAAAAACAAAGTCAGCAAACCAGAACCTTCTCTAAAGTTGGATGACGACAGACCACCTCGATGAACGGCACCCGAATTATGCAGCGCTTGGGGACTAGAGTTCACTGCCTTTTGGGATGTGCAGAAGTTGTGAACCGCACTGATGTTGGGTGGGGAACAGTTAGTGAGCAAACTGCAAATGTGTCCGGAGGAGAATATTTTACGTATAGACGCCCATGTACTAGGATAGTGGTCAGCCTACTGAATACAATATCAACAGTGAGAAACCAGACGTAAAATAACTCACTGTAGTCATATCAACACCTGTCTGGAGATTCTTCATAATCTTCTCGACACCCGCCTCGAGATAGCTCCATCTAGCAAGATAATTCAGCCCCAAACTATCGCAGAGAAAAATACAAGAAATACTTACGTTTGACCAAGGTCCTCCCTGTTTGGTGCCTTTGGCTGCATCCTTTAGACACCTTGTTGATGCAAAGAGGGGATGTGGAAGGAGAAACAGAGCTGCTTTCGGAGTCCGTAAAAAATGCCGAAACTACCGTAGCGTGCCAGGGCAATACAGTCGGGAGGTGGAATGAGAAATATAAGGAGAGAATTTAAGAAAGTGAACTGTTTGCAAATCGAGTTCACTAGATGGTGGGGTTTGGGGTGGGTGGAGGAAGGCTGGCGATGAAAGTGGATGCTGGTGTTGGAGGGGAACCTAGGAAGGTGAGTGCTGGTTCTGTCTGGTGTGGTGTTCTGAGGCTGGGTGTTAGGACTTGGCTGGGCGCTATTCTATGCACCTATGAGTCGCCCGGTACTTCGTGTTGCGGGTACAGTAGAAAGAGCGGCTCAATTGAACCCGCAAAACTCAAAAGCCGAACAACTAAAAAGCTAGGGTTCCTAATCCCAACTAATCTATATTATCATATCATCTGGTATGGTACGAGTACCTGACACCCGCTAGTAAACAGATACCACCGTTGCCTCGTGAGGACCAATGGTGAAATACAGGCATGATGATAGGATAAATGGCGCTTGGGTGATATAGACTACAAGTATCATCCAATTTTCCACTGCATCGGAGCGTGAAAAGCGTGAAAATGCTGATACAAGTACTCCATACTACCGGTACTATGGCGATTCTAAATACGGTAACTCGAAAGCCTAAATTCTGTACCCATATACACATGGACATACTGGTAACATCACACATTAGGCAATTCTAAGTCACTATACAGTACTTTACGTTAGATATATCTATAATACTCAGTTGCCCACACAAGGTAATATTGTATGATAAGTCGTTATCATACTAGACTATGCAACTAACAACCTGATTGCAATACTCGTACTATTCGTATCACAGTAGTTCTTGCGATTCGTTGCCCTCGTCAGCCCGGTAATCTCATGACTTAGAGACAAAAGTTCTTTAGTTCCATGATTATTATAATATATTTTATCCTAGTACCACCTACTACAGTAACTAAAAACAAAAACAAAAAACAAAAAAGAGAATAAATCAAAAACCAAGACAACACAAAAATAAAACAAAAGAAGGATTAGTTGCTTTCCAGACACGGTATAGTAATAGCCTAAGTCCATTGGCCCAGTTGGATCTCATTAACTGGTTTTGCAGTTCTATTAACTTATCAAACTAAACCTATCAGGGGCTGGTGTCCCTATTTATGATGTGATATCATACAAGGAATATTTAGAACCCTAGTGAGATAACGAACCCCAGGAGTTAATACGGTATCTGTTCGCACGACCCAACAGGCCACAAACTGTCTCGAACCCGGATATATCATAGCTACACTGTCTAGGGTACCGATAGCAACAGTTCTGCAACATAGTCATTGTTATTGGCCTTGCGTCTGCCTACTCCGGAATATAAGAGAACCTCACAGGAACAGAGAGCCCAGATGCTTCAGGGACCGGAGATTGAGTCTGAGATGCTGTTATTTGAATATTAGTAGAGTGCTCAATAAATTTCTACCGGAACTGTAGGGCTAGCCCCAGGGAGATCTGCCAATGCAGAGGGCATTGTGCATTCTTCTTGGGTATGACCCATAGCTACTCTTCTTGGGGCATAAGGATACAATACAAGCAGTGGCAAGGCATGATGCTGCAAATGTATCAAAGCAAAATCCCTCCAAATGTATTCTTTCCCATTCTCCCAAAACGAACTCAAATACAAGACAAGCTAACAAGATACCGACCTATGAAGCTACTTAGCCTCTGCGCCCACACCCAAGAGTTGATTAGCAGCAGCAGAATAATTATATAATGCAAGATGATAACTAGCATGAACACCTGCATCAACAAGAGGGAAAGGGAAAAAAGAAAAAGAAAAACAGAGAGTGTGATAATAGGTGTGCTGACATAGGAAAGGACACAGATAACCCGACAGAGTAATAGCAAATAAGGAACCAAACCAGAAGTACAAGTACAAAAGTAAAGAGCAAAGGAACGCCGTGCCCACCTACCCATGCATTTTCTCCCACTTCCGAGAAAAAGAAAAAGAAAGAGAAACAGACAGTTAAGGGAAATACCGATAGACCTATGCCATGTGACAAAGAGAGATATACAATGACTACAAAATTATCTTTGGCAGAGAATTATAAAGGGAAAATTGGAAGTTATGGATTTTTTGACTCCCTTGTGAAAGCCCGGTTAGGGGGGTTGATTATTATGAACGGGCCCCCGAAGAGACTCTCTCCACAAGTCTAATAATATAAATTTCAGTTGATGAAAAATATCAACCACACGAAGAAGTACCCACCTGAACACACTAACTGTGAATGTTGACACCCAAGCACATAGTGCAAGGAATAGAAACGCTGCAAGAGCACGTTGCCTATCGCATATAGAATCCACGGTTCTGGAGCTCTGGATCCGTGCATTAGTATCTCGATTAGTTAAACACCTCGCTGTTTGGACTGTTGAAGCTTACATTGAGGTCATCTTTAAAATCAGCGCTTCGACAACTCCATCGAACATCGAAGAGTGTGTCAAAAGCCAAAGATAAGTTGGCCGAGTCAAAAATGATGAACAATAGGTCAAGCATTACTAGAATTGGTTGCAGCGTCAGTTTAAAAGCGTAGATATGATTAGAAGGTTGGTAATCTCACTCAATCGCATCTTCGCTTTAGGAGACCGCAAACCGAGCGGTTTGCCAGAATACTCGTCATATGTAATGTAAATCAAGTATATCAAAGCGACCACATCCACAATAATAGCCATAATTGTAGATGGCTTTTGTTCGAAATTGTACTTGTTGCTCAATTGAAACACACTGCATGCGAAGGCTAGGGCCAGAAGCGAAAGTACCCAAATCAAAGCCCTAAAGGTCAAAGGGACCATGGGGTTATTTAGCAGCGTAACCTGCGCACTGCGTCAGCAACTAATCCCCCCCTTCAGTAAGTAGTAGACGTACATGTGCCCTCTTGTACCATATCTTCCTGGTCTTCGAACCGACAAACAACGCACCATCATTTTCCTCTCCGACCCCATCGCCTTGGTTCTCCATATCTCTATTATTTGAAAGCCATGGGCTACTGAGATCGCCTTGTTGAGACAGCCATCCATCATCAACTCGTTTTTCGGACTGGGATGACTGCGGCGGGTAAGAAGTGACTTCCACAAACCCCCGCCATCGGCTGGCATGCTCTCGCAATGGCGAAATCGTGACGGGGGTTGCTTCTCGCTGAGCATCATGCGCTGATCGCTCTGGGGGTCTCCGGTGAGCCATTGGTGGAGGAGAAATCAAGTCATCTTCGTCTTCCTCCCGCCGCTGAACCCACGCTACAAGTAATAGACTGTCAGCCTGACACGTCCGAAAACCGTAAACTGCCACCAATAAATCTTACAACGAGGGGGGAGCCAACTTGGTAGCGTCCGGACATTATCCCACTTGTGATGATCCATATAGTCTCTACCGTCTTTTGCGTTCCCACTTGCGAGAGATCGTGAAGAGAGAGAATTTGTGGAAGTGGAGTTTCGGGCAGTGGTTGTCCCGGTTAGCACATCATGCCGTTTTTCGTGCTGTTGTGACGACGACAGACCGGAGGTTGGCCTCTGCTCGGCACGAGAAGAGGGACTCTGGAGCTGATGCTGCTGTTGGGGCGACTGCTGGTGCTGCGGTAACTGCTGCTGGTCAACAGGCTGGTTGGCAGCCATGTCGACACTGACGCAGCCTTTCCCGAGTTAGGGGGCGTGATGAGGCGGAGAGCTGTGGATTGGATTGGATAGGGATGCGAAGAACGAGGCAATGCTTGATGCTGTCGTCCTGGGCCCCTTGATTGATTTAAGATGGGTAACCGGGTCAAGTGTATCGACTGGATGCGGGAAATTGGCTTCTGGGTCGGGACTCCAGAGAGCGTTTTCCTTCGGGATCCAAGCCGGAACGGCGAATGAGATCTGGGCGCGATGAGTGCACAAGGCGGTGCCAAGAGGTAATACGAGTAGGCGAGCCAGGACCCTAGTGTGGCTTACCATCGAATTCCTGGTATGATACAAGTAAATTTATGGATACCGGTACTTGTGTCATAAGGGAGCTGGACACGCTCAAAGTATCATACTTCATTAGGATTGAGTGAGGCTGGTGAAGAAGGATTTTATTTGTATGATAGCAACTTGAACAACCGTAACAAGCATAATTTGCACAGCCACGTTTGGGCAAGCCTTTTTTTTTTCACTTTTTTTTTCTTTCAAGGATGGTAACAGAGCTCTTTGATGACGTTTTCTCTCTGCGTTTTCCCCCACGCCGAATACTTAGGCTCTGTTTGGCGGGAACGGAACTGGTCCGTTCCCCCATACAAACGACCGTTTCCTTCCGTTTCAAAACGGTTGGAGTAAATCCAGTGTTTGGTAATGTAGAAAAACAAGAACCGTTCCGTTCCAAAGTGGATCTTGGCAACCAGGTTTGCAACAGTAGCTGGTCCCCCACTTAGGCTAGTTTTGTATTAAAAAATTTTTGTAATGTATAAAGACATCTTAATTAAAAATAATAACCAGAGTATTCCCTATACATCATATTTTCCACTGGCACCTCCAAAAACAACTCATACACCTCCAAGATAGCATCTCACCCCAATATGAGCACAATTCATACAGCCATAATTCAAAGACGGATTCATATCGCAATTACCTCTGCTCTCTATTCTCATCTATTCCTCTCTAAAGAACCTGTTCATACATCTATTCGAACTGGAATGATTTATACTGCTGAAATCCTGCAAGCACATCCTCGTCGTGCTTTAGAGGTTATTCGTATGCCAATTACAACATTGTTAGACCTTTGAGACTGGGTAATTGAGAGGGGATTACTGGTGTCTACACGTCAAGTAGCTGTGGAAGAACAACTTGTATTGTTTTTATAGATTATTGGACATGGAGCTACAAATAGGGAAGCTCAGGAACACTTTCAGCATAGTGGAGAAACAATTTCATGGTTAGTATTAATTGCACTATAATATTTATATATGAAATGTTTATTATTCTAATTATTTTACAGCTATTTTCATCAAGTTCTAAAGGCTCTCCTGCCTCTGTATGAAGCATTTGTACATCTTCCACCAAACAATATTCCTGCAAAAATACGGAAAAATTGGGGAAAGATGTCCAATTTTAAGGATGTTCGTGGAGCGATCGATGGGACACACATTTTGGCCCATGTCCCACGAAACCAGCAGGGTCCCTATCGTAACTAGAAAGGTACCCTCTCGCAAAATGTTCTTGCTGGATGCAGCTTGGATATGTACTTTTTCTATGTATGTTCTGGCTGGGAGGGTTCAGCCAATGATGCTCGAGTATTAGAAAATGCTGTGATTCATGGATTTCCAAGACATGAAAATACAGTTTATCTTGTAGATGTAGGATATGGTCTTCGTCCTGGGTTTTTAACACCATACCGTACCGTACGATATCATCTGCAGGAGCAAGCACAAGCTCATTTACGTTCACGAACTAAGGAAGAGCTTTTCAACCTACGTCATGCTTAGTTACGAAATGTTATTGAACGTATCTTTGGAGTTTTACGGAAGAGGTTTTAAATTCTCAATATAGCTCTAGAGTTTGACCTTACCACACAAGCTCAACTTATATTGGTAGTTTGTGCATTACATAACTTTATTCGACACCGGGCAAATGGAGAGGAGGATCAATTTTACCAGGATGCTGATTCATCCTTGGAAAACATCAATCACTCTGAGGAATCAAATCCAAGTTATGAGGAGGAGGATGAAGGAAATGTTAGAGAGGCACAAGATATGGGAGAGATGAAACAAGATCGAGACAAACGTGCAACACAAATGTGGCTTGATTATGTACAATACCAAAACCAGTCACAGTAGACTAACTGCTGTAGAATTCCTAGGCCTTGTAACGTACTATTTGACCTCTTAACCAAAGCTCCTGATCTTCACCTTCCTCTAATGCTAAAAACACTTCTGCCTTAACTGGGTTCTCAAAAAGCTCATATCCAGTAACAATATCTTGTGTTGACCACCCTGGTCTTCCTTTATACTTTTGTTAAAGCTTTGATACAGCTTGCTGAACAACTGATTGGGATGCTGCAATAGTAATTGGTGTAGTGGCCATCCCTTCAACAGCAGTGATCAGCCGTTCAGAAACACTCCTTGGAGGTTGTTGAATATGTCCCAGTGGTGCTAGCCTTCTCCGCTTATGTTGATGAGGACTTGTATCGGGGCTGGTCTACTCTGGATCAGCCTGAGTTGCTAGATCTGACCTAAGGGGCGAAGGAATCGTGATTTGTTGTAATTTTGTATGGCCAGGATAGATTGCATGACCACCTGTTGCTTGAACTCCCTCCATGATTTCCACCAACTCAATTGCATTTGCAAGTGGTTTGTCACGAAACTCTCGTATTCCAGGCTGTTTTTTTATTTCTTCCTCCCATACTTCATCTGGTGCAGTAACCGCACCAGTCTTAAGATCAACCCCAAAACCACTCAAATCTTTCAACCTGGTCCACATCTTCCATTTTTTCTTCAAGGTGTCCAATTTGCCTTGACATCTCTCACCTGTTACAGGAGCCCCAGGTCCAGCAATCAGAAGAACTGTCTCAGCAATCTTATCCCAAACTTCCATCTTTAGCCCATTATTAGATCGTTTTCCAGTCCTAATAGCTTGAACTAGTTCTCGCAACAACACAGATGTCATTCCAGGAGACCATTCAACTGGAAGCCGGCGAGGCTTGCGGGTTTTCTGCTTGCTTCCCGTAAAGGAGGAAGGTACTTCACAGGGGTCTAGAACACAAATTTCGGATAAATTTTCTGAAAAAAAAGTTAGAACTTATCATCGTAACTATAGTGATATTTAACTTACCTTCAATCTCGCAGGAGTGGTTAGAACACTCAGGTTGATGCCCACTTGGTAGTATACATGCAGTATTTTGACTTGCAGTAGTATCCGAGTCTAACTGTATTGATTGAGTCTTATCGCTCAAGGTTTGTGTATTCAAAGGTGAACTACTATTTTAAATTAGTAAACAATTATGATAAGTATGGTGAAAGTGGTAACACACTGGTATTGAGGAGAATGCTCGTCCATCTTGGTATCTGTGAATAAGTTGAAACCTCTTTAGAGAAGGGAGAAGTTTTCACGAATGTTAAGATAAGATAGTTTTTTTTGTACAGGAGACTGAGAGATTTGCACATAATATAGAATTTATTTCATTAGTTTACAAGAAAAAGAAAAAAGCAGATTTATTAGGGTATGGTATTCAAAATTACTCTGCCCTATAGAGTGTTGCCAGGGGTTAAAAAAAATTCTCAATTGAAGGTAAGAGAAACCGTTTCGAAACAGAAGTGCTCCATTTCACCTGTTGCAGCCATTTTGAAATGGACCGTTCCTGAACGGTTCCGTTCCCGCCAAACAGAGCCTTAACAATTGACGCCTATTATCACTCGCGGATGACCCACAAGAAATCCTTTCGCCTGCAAAACACTCAGGTACTGTACCAATTAGACTATTTCGACGATTGCTCTTCAGCTGAACAAGGGAGTTAACTTACTTCTCTATCTATCAATTATATCTTCCTACCAGCGATAAAATCGATATCGGTAGACCACCGTACCTTTTATCACTCAACATGTCCTCCTTATAAAGTCCTCGGGCCCACCAGAATGTATCATACCTAAAAATTTTAAATCCATAATTTTAACCGTCTCCTTTTCCCCATCCCCTCTTACAATTCCTTAGTTTTTCTCATAAACTTTAGGTAAGCCAATCGAAACGTAGGAACAAGGGTCACCCTATTGATAACCTCA